AAATTTGCCCGACTTGTTGTGTGCGAGGTGTGACTAGCTTATTTATCAATATAAAAGAGGTACCTTGTATAACTGCTGACAAGGTGTGTTGATTTACTGCGAGGTTGATGTTCCCTTTGATTACTATTCCTTTGGCATCATTGTAATCACTACCTAATCTACCGATTTCTTATTCTTACGCACACGTGTATTTTTAACTAGGCTGCCAAATATATGGCCACGTGTCGTCTTCACAGTATACTATACACTGAGTGGCAGTTGCGCTTGAGTGAGAGTGAAGTGATTTTACAAATGAGCGTATGAGCCTTTTGAATACGCGCACGAACCGAAGGCTTGATCGTTCCGTGGCGGCTCTGCTGAAAATATCGACCGTTCCATGGCGGTCCTGCTGAGGGCAGATCGAGACCCGTGTGCCATGGCTTCTACTGGTAGATGATTGAATCGATTCACTATGGTCGGTCACTGCGGTCGGGTCACGGCAAGATGTTAGCCGCAAGTGCAGTTGAGCGAGGGTGGTACGGCAAGAGATGATTTTCAGCCGTGTGCGTCCCTTATATAGGCACGCGGCGGCTCACTTAACTGGCAACAAGGCATCGTCGTTGTTGCACTAATTCTTACACGAGGTGTCGAAGGAAAAATCTAGAACCTTCGAGAATATTCGACGAGAGAAAAGTATGAGTAATACCCTTGGGTGATCTTACAGTATATTATATTTCAGGTCGTAAACTTGCTCGGACTTGCCAAGTTTTGTTTGTAAATATTCGCTCGAGTACCCGTCCCGGTCTGCACGTGCGGGCCAGTCTAGGCGCACATGCGCTCAGTCTTGGCGCACATGCGGTACGCCGAACAGCGCGTATGATCTTTCTTTTTTTTGAAATTCATGGAACTGCATCAATCCCGAACAAGTTATGATATAAAAAAATAATGCTAATGATTGCTTAAAAGATTATATAAATAAATTTTGGAATCTCACGAAAGTTATCTTTTTGTATAAATCAAAAAACAAAATCAATTTTTACCACAGACAGGTTTGTTTTGATGATGAGGTGCTTATATATATACATTCATGATAACCTATTTACCTGAAAAATTCGCATATTATAAGAAAACAGATTGTCTAAGGATCAAATTAATAAATCTGTAATTAGAAAAAGTAATGTAATATATTAAAAAATAAATAGCATATGATGGACTAGCATTCATTACTGTATAGAACATAGAGTACTTTTGATTAAACTAGATAAACCAATTGTGAGAATTATAGCAATTTATAATTGAATAACTATTATGGAATAATACTGATATGTGGGGAAAGAATTTATCACATACCATGATGAATAATAACAGACAATATGTTAAAATTGCTAAATGAGTTAAAAATTGATGTCAGTATATGTAGATGAAGTCTTAGTTTTATTAAGATTATGTTTACAGTGTTGCAAAGTAATTTATAAGCAATATCTTGTCAATGGTAAAAGCTTAATGATAGATAGTAGATCTTACAGTTGAATAGGATACAGCTGATATTTTTGATCATAAATAATTAGATGAATAATTATATTTTACTAAATGAATTTAGATTTGCACGCGTATGAATGTATATATTTTGAATATTATAAAGAAAGATCATCTGTATAACACTGAATTTCTAGAATTAGCTGTAAGAGATTTGTAAAAGACGAAATTATTTGAGCCATATAATGCTTTGCTCGAGCTCATAATGTAGCTCCACTCATAAAAGAAGAATAGGAAATACAAACTAATAAATTTAAAATAAAGTGTGATCTTGATCATTAATGGAACTAAATATGTGATAAATTAAATCAAAATATCATCACAACCACAGTAGTATATTTAAGACTATATATATAGGAAAGAGTATTATTACCTTTGTATTTAAAATTAAGGTGAATATTATTACTACTCTATTTAAGTATCTAAAATAAAAGATAATATATGAATGTTGGTAGATAATTTTCACTATGCTGCTTGTATTGAGTATGAAAAAATTTATTATCTGAAAACTTGTTGAAAAGTTGTAGGTTAAATTTTGATTAATTGTTATATGCCTTTGTGTGTGTGTGTGTGTGTGTGTGTGTGTGTGTGTGTGTAGATTTGAAAAAGAGGTTTTATAAAATTAATTAAAGAGAAGAACAGCTTTGTAGAAGCATTCTTTAGCAAATATTAGGTCCCTTCTCAGCAGTTCCATGTAAAGATAATCAACAAATTGATAAGAAATTAAGAATCCCTATAAAACATAATTACCTTTATCGGAATGATAACATGGCATAGTTGACTAAATTATAACGATTTACACAATTGAGTTTTGTTTTATTGGGTGACTATCAGATATAAGAATGAATTTATGATAAAATAAATAATAAAATTAGATTTAATTTTCAAGCAGCATTTTTATATAGTCAGTAAGTATAAGTGAATAATCAATTTTTATTACATATAAAATAAATATAAAATGTATTATTAAAAATACTAATTGAATTACCATTAGCCTAAAATTTTGTATATTCTATAAATCAAACTAATGTTAATTGTCAAAATATAAAAGTTAAATACTTTTAATGATTCTGCAAAAATGATATATTACAATAAAGTATGATAAATCAAACATTTACATTAATAATTGCTTTATCTATAAGTATATAAGTGTGACCACTCCATCGTACTATTCTTAATGGAAATTGTTTAAATTAAATATTTTAACTTTGATTATTTATATCATTCATTGTTATAATACTAATTGGTATACACTTTTACGAATTCTGTGATATTTGTTCTCTTCATTTCTTATTTTTTATTTCTTCTGTAACACTATTTCACTGTAATGCTTTTTTGCCATAGCCATATCATCTTGGCAAATATATGCTGTATTCTAACATGTTAATATAACAGTAGTTAATGTATAAATTTATCACGAAAGCGAAGCTTCATTTAAATATGTGTTCGATTTTTTAGGGGTTGTTTTATGGTCCGAACTGCCAATTCAATAGTTCAGTGGATTAGTCTCTCGTCATGACGACTGATGAGGAAATAACAGGTGAAAGGGCTGAAATTAAGTACAGTGTATTATTATTGTGTTAAGATATCGTTTATTTTTGTTGTCAATTATTATAATATTGCAGTTTGATTGCTTCTGGTGAGAAAACGGAAAATATTCTATTGCTATGGTGAGGTTGCTTCCTTGTGTTCTTGATTGTTGTAGATGTTATGGAAATTACTGTGTATCTTGAGAATTGAGGTTATGCTGATTTGTAAATATCAGCCTGTGTAGTCGATCATGCTCATGAATGAGCATGAGAAGATGGTGTTTGAAATAAAGTGTGTTCTGTTGAGAGAATAATAATATTGAATATAGTGTAAAAGTCTTGATGGAAATTGGTGCGTAACCAATTATGTTTCTAATTATGATGGGAACAGCTGCAAACTAGTCACACGCAAGAATCATAAATGATAAGGCTTCGAGCTCTGAAGGATTTGCTGAAAATGTATTTATTGTCAATTATTTTATAAATTGTTATCTGGATTTGACAATGTAATTGACGTGTTGTGTCGACTCTTTGAGGGCCTGTACGTTGTCGAAGTGTTAGTTTGATTGAGCGTGCTCTTTCCCAATCGACTCTTTGAAGAGAAGTTTTCTAAAACGTGATTTGCGCGTGTGCGACTAGTTTATTTAAAATAATGTAAGGTATGTTGATTTACTGCGTGGTTGGTGTGCCCCTTTTGATTATGATTTCAATTGGCTTTACTGTTAAATCACCTTATGAATTGGCTGTTTCTTTATAATAATGCCCGTGTAATTTTAACTAGGCTGCCGAATATATGGCCACGTGTCGTCGTCACAGTATATACTAAAACACTGAGCGATAATAACAGTTAAGTGAACGCGAAGTAGAATTACAATGAACCATGCCGCATGACGTGTTGCTCTTAAATATACTTGCAGCAGAATGCAACGCTGGCAATAGTGCCGCTGCTTATCGCTGCGCCGAAAACTTCTTTGTGGCGTTAGAAAACGAAGCTTCTAGAAGCTTCACAGGCGTTCCTTTGTGTAATCTTGTAGTATATTGGATTTCATATCGTAGAAAATGCTCGAACTTGTCGAGTCGTGTTTATAAACAATCGCCCGAGCGCGCGCGTGGCTTTCTTTGTTTTAAATTCGTGGAAACTGCGTCAATCCCGAACAATATGTATATATTTCATATTATTTTCTTTAAGTTTTTTTAAATTTCTAGGTTTTATTTATATAACATTTACATATTTTAAATACATTTTTATTGTATATAACATAAAGAGTACTTTTCTTTTGTATGTACATTACCATATCATTTACTTCATCTTAAGTTAATGTTGTTAAAAATATTTATCCACCTTGAAGTAAGAACTTAAATATGACTTAAATATAATTAAATAAAGAATATTTTTAATGATTACGTATATTATAAATAATAGGCATATTATTGTAAGGTTTATTTTTGTAATAATAATTTTGATCGTTTATTCATTGTTATATGAGTATTAATTTTCTATACAATAAAGTTATATTTTTACATCATGTTTTATTAATTAATTTTGATATCATTTACGGGTAAATCAATGTTAATAATAATATTAATGACTTTGGATGGTCAACTATTCATTTAAAATATCAGATTTATTGTACAAAAAATACGTAAAAAAATTTACTGAAGTATATAAATATTTTAAGTTATATACGTGTATTTATTATTGGGGTATGTTTTATTATTATATACAGTATATATTAATAGCATATTTAAGCTTTCATTTACGAAAGTAGATTACTTTATAAATCATTTCTTATTCTTAGTTATAATTTATTAATATTATATTATTATTATTATATTATTGCAAGAATAATCATTTGTAATTCTAAAATTGTTATACATTATTTTGCAGGAATTTTTACTAGCAATTGATGTAACATCTAGTGGGACACCCGAAGAGAAATTGAAATGGGCTTTTCGAATGTATGATGTGGATGGTAATGGTGTTATTGATATTGAAGAAATGACAAAAATTGTTCAGGTAATGTTCAAAGGAAACTCAACTAATCGTTATAACATATAGTTCTAAATAATTGATTGATTTTATTTGTTTAACATTTTGAACATAATTAATTTAAAGTTTTTAAGTGTTAGTATATTATTATTATGTTAAGAAAGCTTATTTAAAATTATATATATCTATTATTACATATATGTTTTTCGTTAATTAGTAATTAATTTATTTCGAGTACTACAAACAAGGTCGCATTGTAAAAAACGTCTTATAAAATTAAGAAAATTTAACAAATGAGTAAAATTAGTTTTGAATAATTAGATCATTATTATTTTTATTTTGCCCATTAAACGTTGACCAAATTGTGTTTATAAATTGTTAAAATGATGTTATTTATTGATCATTATTTTGGAAATTAATTAAAAAATAAATAATCAGAAAATTTTGTTTACTATCAAACTACTTATATAATTTATATAAGTTACTTTTATAAGTTTTAAAAATTTTATATACTTATTGATATAAAAATTGTACATTTTAACATATTTCGTTTGCATTAATTTTATAGGAAATTTGTAATTATATATGTGTATAATTTATAATAAAGTAACATTTTATAGTTTTATATTTATTTTAAAACTATTTATATTTTTTTAGGTAAATGTTTTTAATATTTATTATATTTTAGTATTATTAAAATTGATTGCTTATTCTGGTTCAAATCATAAATGTATTGTTTACAGTTTTATAATAGTAGTAGAAACCATAAAAATTAATATAGATTAGATTTAATTTAAAATTTTTTAGCTATACTTTTATTTTTATTATGTAAAAATGTTACATATAAAGTGACTTTTTAGATATTTCCTAATAATTTATGAATTGTATAATTAATATATTATGTATATATAAATTAATTTTTTTTCTTTAAGAAATTTGGACCCGTACCATGAGCCAAATTTTTCATGATTGACTCCTAAACCGTAATAGATTTCATAATTCAATTAATCGACCCCCAGTAAAAATATTAATAATAGGTCAATAATTATTCTATATATCACAAGAATTGGTGTTTATTGATTGGAAAAAGTGATTCCCTTTGAATTATTATTTTTTCATTTACCAAGTGGTCTCTTTATATTGTTTAATTTTTTTACTTTATCTTGAATCGAATTAATAAATAATAGACATGAATTTTATTTTGAAGAAATTGTATCTGCAAAGATATGTTTTTTAATACCATGACCATTTTTTAATAGGCACTGATTATGTACGTTGTTTTTGATATATTTATTTTTTAATCATAATTTTTTCCAATGTTATCCTTGATTTTATATATATCAATTTTGTATATCATAAAATAAATGATAAATCATGAATGTAACGGTCTTCTGTTGTGAACTGATTTCAATCTAGATTCTTTAAGATTCATTATTTATCTAAGTGAGTTTTACAACCAAGCCATCTTATCCAAACTATATTATATTATATTAACAAATGGAAATAGTTTATTATATGGCAATATAATATTTAAAATAAATGTATGATAATTTAAACTACTGATTATTAAAGTCATAATTTTTTATTTAACTTTATAGTATGGTTTAACTTTATTTATTTATATACCGGATATTTATTTAACTTTATATATCGGAATTATCTCCTTATGACTTCTTATATAAAAGAAAATACTGAAAGTAATTCTTTTTTTTAATCCCTTTTATTGTTTTTTAAGTAATTAAATTTTATTAAAGAAATAATTCAGGTTTTGTTGGAATATTTACAGTTTTAAATAGTTAATTCTACCATATTATCTATTTCGTTGGTCACGTTATTTCAATAATCCTTTAGAGTCAAAACTATAATGATATCTTTGGAATATTTTGCTTTTTTTGAATTAATATTTCTATTTTTTATTCAATACAAAGAAATAAGTTGTTCCACTTCTTCCCTTCAATTACATGGAATCCAGGTTGATTACTCTATTCATTATGTATTACACTTTTCTATGAATAATTAATATTATTATACAATGTTACAAATATTTTCAATCATTGCTTTTTGTATAGATTACAATTTATATAAAAGTATTTTAGTTTTTAATAACTATATTTATTTGACATTTTATTATTGTTTCTAATTTTTTATAGAAAAAAATAACGTAAAAAATTGTGAGCTTGGAGATGGGGAGGGAGAAAACAGAGTCAAAGGAGCATAAGGTAATAAGAAAAAGAAAAAGGAAAACTATTGAAAAGAATATCGAAAGGAACACGTGTTTCTATATTATTACATGTAGACTTAGTAACCACATAGATTATTCACTATATGATTAAAGCGTTAGTTCAATCTTCCGGTATTTAAGTAACATAGCTACATTTTTGGAGAAGCACGTTCTTTATATTTGACAGTAGAATTTCTATCAACGGCTAATCGCATCTTCTTTGTTTATTCTTCTTTGATCATCACTTTTACCCCTTTCTTTAACAACCTTTTCAGTTCATTCCCGCATGTCATAAATTTCATCGGCTTTTTGAACGAGGATTGTTAAGGCAAATATGTAAATTAGTGAATAGAATGTACTTTGTGTTGTAATTAAATGTGTAAATTTAAGCAACCTTCAACATGAAAAGGTTTTGTTAGGAAAGGTCAATAATAATCTATATATATATAATATAATATAATAGAATACGGATAAATATTTATCTTATAGTAATTTATATTAAAACTATATATTTTAAATAAATAATATTCAAATTTACTGGTTTTGAAGTACTAGGTACAGTTTTATATAAATTTTATAGATAGAAATTTCTTGTTTATTTTCTTCAGTATATAATATTTAAAATATCCAGTTGTCGAATCACAATATATAATCCATATCATATTAAACTAAAATTTTTCCTTCTATATAAGTATGTTTGTTTCTCATTAGAAAAATGATTTAAATTCATTTGAAAAATATTTATATGAATGTATTTCTTTATGTGTCGTTATTTAAGTAGATTTATATATTCGCTACAGAGATCTTCGTTTGTCATAGATGTATGAATATTTAGATTAAACTTTGTAAATAAATTCGGTAAGTACATTGAGAAATATATTTGTATCCATGTTTTAATGTCCGTTAAATTGCGTAAGACAAAATAATTCATTCACAAAGATATTTAATAATTAAATTTATAAATTTATTGCATAACACATAAATTATTGTCTTTATTTCCTTATAGTTTTTATTTTATAATATTTGTTTTCTTATAGATTTTATTTTTTTTAATAAATTCAGTAATTGAATTCGATAATTTTATAAGTAATGGGCAGAGAAAAGTAAATTAATATTTAAATAATTTAAATACAAGTCAAATATTCATAATTATTATATTTTAAGATTATAATATAAAAATTTATATTTTATAATTAAAGTTTAAAAATTGTTCATTATTTACTTAGAATTATTTTGTAAGATAGTTAGTTTTGAATGGAGATAAAACTATAAGCGAAGAAAATTTTTTTCAGAAAATCGATTTGATTTATGTAATTTTAATTATAAGATTGATTCGACTATTAATATATATGTCAAAATGAATCCACGATTATATGATTTTTGTAATGAAAAACATTTACGATTCATAATTCTTAAAAGTTGATATTATAGTTATGTAGTATGTCTTTTAACATATTAAATGTCAGATACCTATCCTTTTAACTAAGAAATCTTAAGTTATGGGAAATATATTTAGTTATGAATGCGAGGATTTTATAATTAAGTATTATCAGTTTTGTATTATATGACTATTATTTATTTCTATTATTTCTTCACTTTCTAAATTTCACTCTATTATTATGTTTGTTTAATGATTTATTCTATTATTAATCTTTATTTAATTATTTAAATATCTTTATACTTTTTCAAAAGTTTTTAAAAATTTTGTATTAATCAATTATAATGATTAATCAAATAATAATTGCTTGTAAGATTTTTGAAACTGATAGTTTCTGATAATAGAGCACCTTTCCAGTTAAAGTTAGAGAAGCTTTTAAAGTTGTTTTACATGCTCCTGTTTGAATTTTTTTTTACTTTACTATCATACAAATTATATTATATTATATAACTATATAATATAAACAATATGAGGAGAATTCTCATCGCATCAACATTAGTAAGGTTAATGTATTCTTTCGAACTTCATTCTTCATGAGTATGCTATGGTAACACACATAGTGAATTCTACCTCGATTGCGTTGTTTATAGAGTAGTAGTAATACTAAAAAATTAAGATGCACAGTATAAGATGAAAAATTGAAACTCGTAAATATATCATAAAAGATTCAGTTATTAAACATTAATCCGATTCAATGGAAAGAATAGAATCAAATACTAAAAATATTTATTTAATTTTAAGATTCATCAGCAGATAATGATAGTAAACAACAAAAAGAATGAAACGTGAAAATTTTGCCAATATCAATACTTGTGCACCCATATGTTAATAATTAACACAAATTATTAATCGAATTTGAATTAACTGGAAAGGTGTTTGCTAGTATTCTGATAAAAATAAATGAATAATATATATAAACGATTATATAAATGAAAAATAAATTGGAAGAGAACATTATTTATCTTTATTGATCTGTTTAAACGATAAAAAACTACAAACTTCATATAATAACAAATGAAAATTAATTTTAATAAGCAAAAATTAAATTGAATGAATTCAGGCTTCAAAATTATTTATTTTACAACTTTGCATTGGATATTGATTCTAAGGGATTGATAAATTATATTATGTAATGGATTTGAATGCTTGGAATCATTAATATTTATATATATCTTTTTAATAATTAATGAATAATATGTTTAAATCCCACTTTTTATGCCAAAATATTTTTTTATTGAATATATCATATCTGTTTATCTTTTACAGCATGCCTAAGATTGATATACAATTTTTTTCAATATCTGTAAAAGATTCGATTAATTAAGAATTCCGATAGTTACTTAGTGTTTAAAAAAAGAAAACAAATGGATTTACTGTACCAAATATTATATGCTTATTGCAGAAAACAAAGTTGGAGTAGTATTGATTGCTGGTGACATACCATTCTTTTTTCTGAATAGATGGACTGGCTTCACGAATCTAGTATTATGAAACCATAATTGCATTATGTATTAATTAATGAATTTGGTCAACTCAATTTTTACCATGATTTCTTTGAATTATCTACTTTGAAATTTTCTGTGTGGTATAAATCACGGCAGTTTAGATAGATGTAATTAGTTGAAGTGCATACATTATTGAATGATATTAGTTATAGCGTAGACGCTAGTGTTTGTTTTATTAATAGAAGAAGTATTATGAATAGATTTCTTAATCATATTCAAATGCTGACACATGGTAATATATTAAACATTACGAATTTTTCAATATTTTATTTATGAGACGAGTTAATTATTTTAGTTGTCAACAATATAAGTCTTATATTGAATAAATTTATAACTTATTCATTTATATGATATTTAATATCTATGGACGGATAGTTATGTATTGACAATCGATATTACAATCACAATATGTTTATTCTGTATGTATGCAGTAGTAAAACATAGAATATCTAATATTTGTCTAACAGATAATTAAAAACCTACAAAGTAATTACAGGTCATTATATGAAATATTTTTAGTAGAAACATAGTTAAAAATACAAATAAAATATAGTCTCATTATTATTATTATTATAAATATTTTCTATATATATTATATCTAATATATTCTGAATATAGTATATATTATATATATTATGAAATTATTTTTAAATTCCTTCATGTGGAATTTATCCGTAAATTTCCAATATCTAAATAGATTTTTATTGGTTTAGCTATAAGAAGTATGATGAAGATTTTTGAAATATTTTTCAGCTTCACATAAATAATTTTCTATAATTTATACATCAGGCTTCACTACAACAAAACTTGAAAACCTTCATTTTCAGATTCAAAAATATAGATGGAAGGCCATTTGACTTATGGGATTCGTTCCATGTTACGAACGTCACTTAAAATGAAAACTCCGATGAATTCTTTTAGCTGGACTTTTTTCTAGTGCAACTTTAATTAACATTATTTATGATTGGAATAGAAAATTATCATATGCTGTTAGGCGACAAAAAATCAATTTCAATTCAACAGGGTGACTAGAAGAGTAAGAAAATGTTTTAAGACAGCATGTTGATTAATAAAAGTAAAAGTTACTGAATTGAAAAAATGTTGTCACTATACTAGAATAAAAGATATTGATTGATTGAAGAATTTTATTGTCAACGTCAAATGCATCAGCACAAGGCACCATACTATAATTATGGAAGAGACTAAATAATTTGTTGGCAACTATATTTTAGAATTATAAATTAAATTGTGAGTTCAACAACAAATAAGAATACTGGGGAATGCATATTAATAACACTGAATGAACAATGAAAAATGTCTTGAGAAGGATTATTATAATTTTATTTAAGAAAAGGAGAGAATGAGGATAATGAAAAAATAGATATGATGAAACATTAGTTTTTTAATAACAATCTATAGAAGGAATGTTATCAAACAATAGATGACTAAAAAAGTTTTATTTTAACAATTTATAATAAAGATATAACAAAATATTAACTAAATAGGTGTATAGATTTGTACATATGCATATATGATAATAATACATTAATAAAATCTATAAAATGATTGTTTTACCATTAGAAAAAATATATTTACTGTTTAATTTTAATTTTCAGAGCGTTTAATTTAGAAAATTCACGATTTATATGCAATCTTTATCAAAATATTAATATACTTATACGTATTATCATATTATTATTATTTATATAATATGATTTTAGTAAATAATAAAATTATATTTCAATGTATTTATTTGTTCATTGTTCACAGGCAATTTACGATATGTTAGGTGCAAGCTCAAGTAATAGGCCAGCAGATAGCGCTGAAGAAAGAGCAAAAAATATTTTTGCAAAAATGGATGAGAACAATGATGGTCAACTGACTCAGGATGAATTTTTAAAAGGCTGCTTGCAGGACGAGGAGTTGTCAAAGATGCTAGCTCCTTAATTAAAAGGCCAAATTTTTTAATATTACAACTAATTACAAGAATTACAGGCGATAATTGAATTTTATAAAAATACCTGAGCAGTTTCTTGCAGACATCTTATGATCAATATCGTCCTCGTCGTTGTCGTCGTCGTCGTCGTCGTCGTCGTCGTCGTCGTCGTCGTCGTCGTCGTCGTCGTCGTCGTCGTCGTCGTCGTCGTCGTTGTCATCGTCGTCGTCGTCGTGGTCGTCGTCGTTGTCGTCGTGATCGTCGCCGTCGTCGTCATCGTCGTTATAATCATCATCTTTATCGTCATTATACTCATAAACTCCATAATCATAATTATTCTTTTTATTATTATTTTTTATTATTGCTGTTGTTGTTGTTATTGTTGTTGTTATTGTTATTATAGTTATACATATATAAATAATACATCAAGCATGAAAAAGATAACAACAAAATATATATTTTATTTAAGTTTTACAATAATTTATTATTCTAATTATGTAATGATTTTCTGGTTTTTTAAAGTTTATTTCAATAATTAATAACTTATTTATATAATTATTTATTAATACAGGATTAGAGATAGATATACTGAATATACTGTTAATTAAATTGATAAATTATAATAATTTGTCTTAAATTCATAAAGTGTCATAATATAAAGCTAATCAGTCATAACTACATTACCAATATGATACAAGCCCTAAAGAAAAAGTTGTTACATGAAACGATTTTTTAATAAAAATTAGTTATTTTCTACATTCTTCTAACTTTTAATAAAAATAATGTATTAGAAAAAATAATAAATCAATAAGAAATATAATATATATACAAATAAAACTTATGGTAAAATATGCATAATATAGAGTTGGAAATATTTCTGTTAGTTTTGTTAGTATGTAGAAATGTGTACGTATGATATACAAGATTCTGATATTACTTAAATATTAATGTTTACATTTATTAAACTAATATACACAGCATAATTTAATAAGCTATTACAAACTCACATTTATTGTATAATATTAAAATAAATACTTATAATTATATAAATGCAAATGAAGTATATAAAAAATTATATAACTGATGTACCAAGAATTCAGTTTATTGATTTAATAGCACAAATGTAAAAAAATGTTATTATTTTGTATTTGAATCAATTAAAAAATATTTTTTAATTAAAATATAACTAAGTTTTATTAATGATGTTTATAAATTGGGAAAATTTTTTAACAAATAGTTTTCAAACAAATTGAAGTGTTTTTTATGAACTATAAATACATACAGTTCATTCTACATTAATTTTCTATAAATTTTAATGTTTTTGTTATAAAAAAATTTTGTTTTAAGAGTTGTAGGCAATTGTATCCCGACTGTGTCAGTTTTATTATATAGTTTCGGATAATGTATTGTATAAAAAAATTTCTGTATCAATGTGTGATGTTATAACGACACGTTTTTAAGTAACCTTTTATTCATATACTTACATGTTTTTTATATCCATTAAATTTCAAATTTTATCAATCAACATAATATTAAGTTTTTAAATTTTTAAACAAAGGAAATTTTTTAATACAAATTAATGGATGTACAAGAACTTATTAAATAATGAAAAACTTATTATTCAAATAAAAATAGAGCTATTATTAATATATTTGAATTTGCACGTATTGAAAGTTTTCTTTTTATAACTACATAATAAATAATTTAATGATAGGGCTTCGATTATTTTATTTCTTTAAATTTCTTTAATTTTCTTTTTAACGTGAAAATTAAAATATGACCTCAAATTTTTGTATACTAAATTAAGTATTTGAAAGTTATTTAAATAACGTATATTGAAAAATTTTTTGAACAATATGAAGAAAACTCTTTCGTAATTATCTTAAAATTAAAAGTTTGTATAGTAAGATTATTTAATTATATTAAAAGGACACAATAGTATTATTAATTTTATTTTTGATATTTTAATTTGTATTAATAATTAAAATAATATTATTAATAATTAATAATTAAAATTAATTAAGATAATTTTGAATATGATTAAATGGTTTTTTTAATTATCATAGCATTCAACTTGCTTTAGAAGAAGATATTAATCTTTTACTTACTTATAATATTTTTACTTTATTTTTATTATTATATAAACATTATTATCCACATATTTTTATTATATAAATGTTCTATTTTCATTTGAACTTTTGTATCGATTTGAAACATTAATACACTAGAACATTTTAGTTTTAGTGAAATTATTTAATTTTAATTATTAAGAATTTGTAATAAAATGTTAACAACTGCTTTTAAAAATTCAATTTCATATTTTATGTATTTTTATGAAATAAATAAGGAAATATTTTTAATTTCTATTTATTTTGAATATTAAATTTTAAATATAATAAAATATATATTATACTATAATACTATATTAATTTCTTTCATAAGGATAAATGTCCTAAATAAAAGCGATGAATAAGAAATTTAATTCAACAAATCCTATCTATTATTTTTACAAGTATAATTTTTAATTTTTTATTAACATATTTCAAGGTAATAATTTTAATGGAAATAATTTTTATTCGAATTTTATTTTTGAATATTTCGATTATACTATTACAGTTTAGGTACTAATATTAAATCTTATATTAATATTAGCCAGTAGATTATTTATTTACATTATAATTTCCTAATATATGAATAAAATTACAAAGTTCAGTAATGAAATCTATTTTATAATTAACCAAAAATAATTTTCAATTATTTTAATAAAATCTTAATTCGAGAGAATTAGTAATTTTATATAAATGTCTATTTGAAATATTTATTATTAATTTGAATGAGTAGTAATTTTGAATATTATACCATTCGAATTACTAAATCAAACTTCTTTATACTTGAACATTAATATATGAATTATATTGTCTTCGTTTGATTCTTGTCTACATATTGATTGCAAATATGGTTCAAAGAATAATTTTAGAATTATTAATTGTAATAAAAATGTACAGATATGAATTATTTAATAAATAGTTTATTTTTAAACTTATTGAATATAATACAAATTTATTCTAACATAATATTTATTGGTTAAATATACTTTATAAATTCAAAAAAATTTATATTTTTACTTTTTGACAATTAATTATTAAATTGAAATTATTTAATAAAATATTAGAATGTAACTAAGAATTCTCTCTAAATTACAATAAAAAAAATTAATTATATTTATTAAAGAAAATAAATTTTCTTAGATTTTTCATTGTCTATTATTATTTCTTTAAATATAGGAAGGATAAAATTAATTGAATAAAGGTAAGAAAAAATATATTTCTTACAAATTTTCGACAGTGATATATTGCATGTAATTTTATGCGACTTAGTGATCTAAATGATTTAAATAAATTTGTCGATTTCAATATAAATGTTACAATTTAACTTCTAAGTAACTTTATAATATATATATATATAGAATGGATTTATAAAAATATATTATTGACTCAATATTTCTATAGATAACCTAATATTTTTATTAAAATATTTTCTTTACTATGTAGGAAATATAATAGAAAGAAATTCTTGAAACTTTATTGTAAAACATTTTATTTTTTATTAAAATGTAATATTTTTTAATGAAATTGAAAAGAAATCTGAATTAATAACAATATTTAATGGAAAAAAATGCTTCGTTGAATTCAGTTGATCTTAAAATAGATTAATTAAAGCGAATATAAAATTTACATACTTTTATATTAATAAATTGTTATATATTTTTAAAAAGTATAAAATAAAAGATTTCTATATTACCACTTTTTAAAAATACAATTACACATTTTTTTAATTGTATTATTAAAAACTAAACATAAAAATTTGTATATCAAATGAAATTTAATAAAATTACGGAGATATTTTATTATTTATTTGAATTTCTTTTATAAATATTTTTCATGAAGCCTTGTAAATATTTATGTATATATAAAATTGTATTATATGTAAAAATATAATTTAAAAAAATTAAACAGCAATCATTTGAAAAATCGATTGAAAAATATTTTTTATTTATTAAAAATTTAAAATGAAATGTTTATTTAATTTAAACGATATATACTATTAAATAATATATACGGGAAGGAAATAAAGTGTTGTATAAATATATATTTTCTATATCACCTTAATATTTCTCTTTTCTATAATTTTTCATAAATTGTTTTACAAATTTTGATTCTTTAATTGATAATCAAGAACAATATTTTTATTATAATCAATCACATTTTTGTTAAAGAAAGCAGTGAAAGTCTTTAGTATAAGTAACTTCAGAATTTATAAATTTAATTTAGTTATTTTACATATAAAAATGTCAATGTTTAAAAAAAAACAATTAGTATAAAAAAGAACAAAAAGAGATTTAATACTGTCATGGATGTTTAAGCACTGACAATCGAAAAAGCACAAATATTTTAGTATAAAGGGTTTTTATGAAGTAACGATGTGAAAAAAGAAAGAATAATCAATAGTATGAAAAAGACGATCACAATAAGAAATAGTGTGAAATGAAGCATGAAATATAAAAATATTATTAATTTCAAAATCATATTTGAAGTAATAATATAAGAAACTCTTTTCCATGAATAAGAGAGAAAGTCTTTAAACACATTTGTTTATAAAAAATGTCAATCTTTCCTTTGTGATATAATAAATAAAAAATATGTATGATATACCATTGTAGTTACAATTTCTATTATGCTTTTGCAAAACTTAGACATTTTTAATTTATATTTTTTTACTCTGATAATATATGAAATGTTCATATTTTTATTCACACTTAATCCATTGAAGACAATTTTAGTACAATTGACTATTTTTAATATATTTAATCTATATAAGTATTTAATCTATAAATTTATATTTGTACTAAGACGAAATTGAGAATCATTTTTATACATAGACATTGACAACAAATTTCATTATATTATAATTATAATCAATCCGATTAATATAATAAGCAAGTTAATTATCTATGTACTTATTTTCTATTAATTTTAGTTTGGCATCTTAAGTTTTTAATTTATAGTACGTTTGCTGTAATATTAAAAAAATTTAAAAAAAACGTCATGATAAACTTAAATTTATCATTTAAAATATATTAACAATACATGATTAATATGTCAATAATACATTAATAATACATTATATATATTAGTATTAATCTTGTTCTGTTCAAATTATTATATTCTGTATCTGTTTAATAAATACTTCAGGGAATTTTAGTATTTTTAAAAAGAGGTTATTAAGCGTTACAGATTATTTTTATACTAAGAAAATATAATACAGTCTATAACCTACTATAGTTGCGAAATTTATATCTCTATATATACATCCCTTTTGTGATATATATAATTTCTTATATTGTATTTTTCTTGTATATAATGTATTTAACTTATTTAATTTGATATTTGTTTATACTGAACTGTTTATTAGAAAATAAACTTTAATTTTTTATAATATCAATTATTTATATTTTATAAATATTAAATTTAAACTAAATTGAAAAAAAAACATTATAAAAATATTTAAATAAAAATAATAATGATTACATTAATAATAATGAATAATTCATTATAAATAAAGTAAAAATATTTACTTTTCCAATTATTTAAGTATGATTATTCATCATAATTGTTTCTACGTAACTTTTAAAAAGTATTAATTATCGATGAAATTATGATTATTCACGTAGCATATATTTAAAAATTATGTTTTTTTTTTATAAACAAGTAATCTATGGAAATAGTATACAAATATTTAATGGAATTAAGAATAAAAAATATACAATTAATCAAAAGAATCATTGTTTCACTTTAGTCAATATAAATTTGACTAAATATAAAAATATATCAAATATATCAAATAAATATATCAAAGATATTATAATGTAGAGGGTGATAGAGATGAATACTATAAAATGTATCTGTAGTGCCTAAATCATAAAATAAATACCAATATATGTATTTAGCATAATTTATTATAAATAGCAAATTTTAATCAAGTTTATTATTATTTATTGAATCATTGAATAAATTACTAAATAAAATATTAGCCATCAAAGAAGATATTGATGAAAAAAGCAATTATATCTATAAGTGAAATTTGTAAACGTTGGATTTGATGTTGGCTGAACAATTTTCAAAAATGTATGTGGCACAGTTTCAATTAAATTTTTGATGAATAAATTTTGCTATTGATTATATATCAAGTGTATACATTATAAGTGAATATAAATTATAACATTATTACTCATAAGTCTAAAAATTAAAATGTAAATAATAATGACATCGATAACATAGTCATCGTAGATATCATAGACAATATTCTAATATATCAACATTGTATCTTTCTATGCTGCATTGATTTAAATTTTGTAATAGAATTTTTAACAAGCTTTCTTAATATTTCAATATTGTAAAGCAATTAAATACTTTCTAACAATTTTAGTAATTAAATCGTTTATTATCAAATAGTGCAAATATTTACCCATTTTTATATATTACTTATTACATTTATACTTATATATAGTTTATGATTGTATATATATATATATATATATATGCTTATACATATATAATTATACAATGCTTAATAATATTGAATATTTATTTTCAAATTGCACTCGTTTTTATTATTTATGTATTTTATTAATAATATATAGTTTTTATAGACAGCCTTAATAGTAATAATGCGAATGAAGAATTAAAGGAAATTTAATTAGAAGGGGGGATTAAGCCAAATTAAAGTAATAAATAGACGAATAGATATCCATAATGTTATACAGAATAAAGCTGATAACAAAGGTAAAAAGATAAATATAGGAGTAAAATTAATTTAATGTACAAGTATATGATTGTGTTAGCTAGCTTTATATATTAATATAGTACTTTTTAATTTGTTTCATATCCGGATGATAAATGTTTATACTTAGTATTGTATTGAAAGAAAGGAAGAGATGAATACGAGGACCGAAAAACTCAGAAAGAGTTGAAGGTGCTAACGAAGCAGTAAAAATAACTTAGAGAGTAAATCTATATATAAATGTGTATAGTTTAAAATTTAAATGTAATGTAAAACAAATATTTTTAAAAATAATTTAATCATTTATTAATTTTTGTTCTTTTATTTAAGTAAATTTTATTTAAAATATACTTATTTCAACAATTTTTAGTATACTATCCCTAAATAAAATACTTATTTGTTTTTACAATCCAAAATGTAGCATTCTGAATGAAATTCCTAAATTTAGATTAATTATTATATATTTTATCATTTTACATACATTATTCGAAAACTAATTTTAGAATATTTTTATTGAATCTCCAAAATATTACAATTCAAAAATTATAAAATATAAACAATTTTTATTAAATGTGACTGTATTGTAAAAGTCTAATTCTTATAAAAATGAATTATAAACAAATTGATTAAAATTATACCATCGTGTAGTTCATGTTTATAAGTAGGTTTGCATTGTAAAAATATGTTATTTTATAAATTTTATAATTATTTTATTTTAAAAAATATAAAATCAAAATCAAAATAAATTATGAACTAATAAGAAACTTAAATAGTAAATATACAATTTACCTATCTATTAATGCAATAAATATTTTATTAATTTTTGTTTGTATGTGTTATTTAATTATTTATGAAATATCTGATTTTAATAGATGAAATTTAAAAATATTTTTATAATTTAAATAGGATTTGAACTGTTAAATAAGTTTATTATAAATAAGAATAAAACAGATACAATTTTTTGCTATTAACAGAAATAATATTATTGATTAACAATGAATAATATTTTATTTAATGACTAATATTTTGCTTTTTGATAATGGTCATATAGAAAAGCAAACATAATATTTTCTATGCTATATTGAAAATTTCCGATTTTATTTGATTATCATTACAAAATATACAAATATAAATATAATTATAACTTATATCTAACGAAGATTAAAATTTATTAAAATAAAAAATTTAAATAAAAAAATGTTAAAAACTAAAATTAAAACTTTATTAAATATGAAATAAATTAAAGTTTAAATTAAATTTAATTATTTATTAAATGAAATTAAAAATATTTATTATTTATTTTCTATAATAATGAAATTCAATTTGTAACAATAGTTTTGATTTTTAATTAAAGTAATAATTAAATGAAATAATAGATTTGTAAATATTTGATAGTCGTAAAATATTATAAATTAAATCAAATAAAAATAATATAATAAATTGGTATATAAAATAATAATGTTTAAATTTTATTAAATTAAGGATTTAAGAAAATAAAAATTAAAACAAAGAATTTTTAAACTTGAAAATTATGCACTCTGGACGTTCTAGTTCAATATTTTTAAATTCATGTTATTTTAAGAAAATAAAGCATTTTTTAAATAATTTAATTACTTTGCACGAATATATATAATATCATTACTTATAAATGTAATAAATCTAAATAAATCTATAATATAACTAAACTAAATAAAAATATAAAAAAACTCAATATTTTATGTGAAGCAACAAAATTCATTAATTAGTTAATATATTAACGAATGTGTTTATATTATTTTTAATATTATTAATATTAAATATTACTTATAATTGATATTACAATTATTAGAAGAAGGATGATAAGTATTCTTTACTATTATTTACAATAAATTATGTGTTATAAGACTCTATTGCTCCATTTTTATCAATTACTTATATTTATATTTTTATCTGTTTCAGAAAATTATATGAAACTCTTCATGTATGAATGATCTAGTAAATAATTAGACTTCCTTTTCCTCTGCTCCTTTTACTTTAACTTCGAAATGATGCGCATTTTCTAAATATTTAAAATACAAAATAGAATTCAATTATAATCTTATATACATTAATATTATTAAGAAAAATTAAGTATAGCATCTATAACAGTGGTTCATATTTAAATACATATATATAATTATTCAGAATATTATAAGATTGGTAGATAAGCTTTTATCGGTTTTTTATATATTTGGTATCAATAAAATTAATTGGGAGTTTTTAGATCTAAGAATATTGACTTTGTAATGCACAAATAAATTTGTGTGTTTGTGTGTCTGTACAACTTAACATTAATTTAAAACTTGATTATTTTTTAATAACATTAATGTCATTTATAACTGGATATTTTAAGATTAACATTTGTTAAAAGGAGTTTATATTCCAAAAACTAATGAAAAATGCAATCAATAAAGTGCTAATTATATTTTTAATATTATTGTACTATTCTAATGATTAATTGTTATTTTTGGTTTATTTTGTTTTTTTAGACTCAATAAAGGCTCTGACGTTTTCTCGACAAAAGTAAAGAATAGGTAAACTGTTGTTGATTTTACGTACACAGACCTGATTTTACATTTTGCATTAAAATATAAGTAGATATACTTTGTGAGGATGGGAAAACAAAATAGCAAACTCAAACCCGAAGTACTGGAGGATCTTAAGCAAAATACTGAATTTTCAGGTAATTCATTCATTTACAATTTTTTGTATTTAATAAATAATAAAACTTTGAAGTAATTAATATTAAAATTAATAGTAGTCTAGCATTATTATAAAATATTAGTAATAATCTAAATTTTATGTAATTGAGATCTTTTTCTTCAGAGGTGGTTTTATATTTATACAAATCTATTTATATATATACTATAAATGTATAGAATATTATTATTATTATTGCAGAAATATTTAATTTTAATATTATAAGAGATAAAAATAAAAATTTAATTTTCAAATTATATTCAATAATACGAAATTCATTAATTACTCTGTACAAAGTTTGTACATAAAATTATAAATTATAAAGTTATTATGATACCAAGGTCTAAAAAATGATTACCAACAAAATGTAAAGAGATTATTTTCTTATCAATTTATATTAAATAATTAATTTTAACATTATTGAATAAAATAAAATGATAATGGAGTTTGAACTTGTATGAAAAATGCATACACTATTATTATCATATCAGTTATAGATTAAGCTTAATTTTTTTTGTGTATCAAGTTATAAATTTTATTAACATAATGTTAATAAAAAGTGAAATAAGTAAAAAATAAACATTTTAAAAAATTGTACAGTTTTTTCGATACTTCATCTAATGATACAAGTATCTAGACTAGAATATATAATAAATAGTAATTATACATGATAAGTAAGTTATTAATCTATTACAATTACTTGAATAGCTGTGTATAACAAGCTTTATTGATTAATTTTAATTTATTAAACTCCTCTGTTGTCAGCTATTTAAAAATTAATATTGACTTCATATGAAAAGAGACTTGTTCATAAGAATTGAATAAATTTGATAGATTTTTAATAAATATTGAAAATTCTTAAAATTATTTTTATGAACATGAAGTTTTTAAAAAAAATTAATAAAAAAAAGCGTTAATATTCTTATTTTTAAATAGCTCTTTTGGTATGTAAAGTAATTTTTACTAATAAATTACTAATAAAACAAAATAAAATGAATAACTGAATTTTTGAATGTTTAAGGTTGTCAAAATATATATATTAAAATTTTCAAATGCAATCAAGTAAAAAATAATTAAGATTTTATTAAAATTTCGAATGTTAGTATTTTCATAGATATTGAATTATATTTAAGTAATACATATTTTGATTATAAAATTATAATAAATATTCTTATATTTAATTAAATTGAGGAATAATTTGATATGGACATAATAATAATAAAATAGGAAAATATTTTCAGACTTGTGTAATAATTTAATGACAATAATGATAAGATTGAAATATTACACAGCATAAATTACATTAGAATTCATATAAATTTTAGTTATGGATAACAGTAATCACTTTAGAAATTAAAAGTCTAAATTGTATTTGACGAAATAGAATATAATTAAAATCAATACTTTCTTTTTTAGTATTCTTAGTTGAAATATAAGTGCTTTAATTGATTAATTAATTAGAAATTTAGATTATTTATAAGAATATATTAACAGATAATTTTTTATTTACTATTTCATGCTCATATTAAATATATCGTTTAGTTAAATAATAAGTAAAAATTTTTATAACTAAATTTTATAACTCATTATTTGCCAGTACATCTTTTCTGGTTAACATTTTTAAACTTGGAATATTGTTTTTTAAATATATTTCAATTAATATATAGAATCTTAGGCTGTTAAAATTTTCATGCATACTTTATAAAAACGTATTATTTAATTTTTTTTAATGAAAAATACTTAAAAAGTTTTTTTGACAAATTTAATTATTACGTTATTAGTTGTATTATAAATTTTTAATAGTTATAATAATATACTTAAAATAATCAATACTTATAAACAGCCAATAAGTATGTCTAAAAGTAATCTAATATAACTTATTCATGATGTACTCCTATTATAAATTTCATTGATTAAATTGATGTGAAGTTAATCATATATACTTGGTTAACTATATATCTTGAGTGCAGTCCATTAATAATGTTTTTGATTAGTATTGTTGTTATCGATAGTAAGTAGAATAAAAATATAATTTTAAAATAGTTAACAATGTAATGATTTTAAGCATTGTATTTGCAAGTTTATCAAGAAATTATTCATAATTAAGACATTAATTAAAACATTATTTTATAATTAAGATAAATCTGAATGCTTCTAGATTGAATTCATTATTGTATTCAAATATTAATTGTTGTTTGTATTAACAATCCACGAGAAACTTTTTTTTAAATAAATTATTATTTTATTTATTTAATTATTTTATTTTTAATTAGTGTTTTAATTTTAGATGCAGAAATTCAAGAATGGTATAAAGGATTCTTAAAAGATTGTCCAAGTGGACATCTAAGTGTTGAGGAGTTTAAAAAAATATATGGAAATTTTTTCCCTTACGGTGATGCATCAAAGGTATTAATTATTTATTAATATTTATAATAATCATTTAATAAAGATATATAATAAATGGTATATAATTATATGATTAATTATTATGGATTAATTAATAATTTAATATAAATTAATATTCTTTACCGTGTGATAATTAAAAAAATAATATATAATTATATAAAATAATTATATATATATTGATCATCTGTTAATAGTCTATTGTTTTCTATAAGGTTATCTATAAGGTTTGATAGTATCCATTTTAAATTATATAATTTACAGATTTTATTTGCTTACATTCAAAATTTGAAATGATAATAATTGAGTCTATAGTATTTTGAAAGCTTATTTATGATCGCTTCCACTTAATTTTAATATATTCTCTTTTAAATTAAAAGTGAGCTCAAAAGAATTAGTTTCTTGCTAAAAGTTTTTGTTTGATTATTCATCTCTTATTTAATTGCGTTGCAAATACTATATGCCTTATTGGGGTTAATAACAAGCCTATAGAAAAAGCTCGTAGAGTTTAACATGTAAATAGTTTCATAATTTGTCCACATTGGATCAATAACATGTTTGTTATTCCAAAAATCAGTCACAGCTTAGATTTATACAAAGGTTCTATTTTCGAAGCATTTTCAATATCCTATTTATTTGTAATATATACTTACTATTTTGAATTTGGTCTGTTTCATTTATCACTTCTTATGATTTTATTAGGTTGATTCGATTTATTAATATTAACTCTGACTTTAAATATAAACTAACAATTCATTAATCTGGAACAGTATTAAATTCTTATTTTAATATGAATATTTTTTTACATCAGCGAGATTTTTTCTCTAAAACACCCTCTTTTTCATTCTCAAAGATTGATCATTTTTCTGCCTAACATTAATTGACATTGTATATTTACATACTGTGAAAATAATTTTTTGAAGTTACAGTTTGATACATTTAATAATTAGTAGTTATAAAGATTAAATTTTTTCTTTTTATTAGCCTTAAATTGTCCTTCAATTTAGATGAGCATTTATTTACATCAAGTAATTAATTTCATTACAATAGTTTTTTTTTTCTAATAATTTCATTATCAATAGTTGTTAAACTTAATTAGCATTTTTTGAAACCAAATAGTTGAAATTTATTACTAAATAAATTATTAAGATGTTTATTAGCTAATATAACAACTATACGTAGGTCTATTATAGTTTATTTTCTCTACAACTGTAATATCAAAAACGATTTAGTATATTTTTCTACTCTACTTTCTTAGAATTTTATTTGCAGTTAACCTAGTTTCAGAGATTTGTAGTGAAATATACAGACGAATGAACGCATCGTATTTTCGTACGCTCAACTGACTTATCGACATTTAACTCGTAGAACTTGTATTAATTGTTGTGTAGACTATTAAATTTCGCTCTGTTCTAAAGAAATGAGCAAAAAAGTTCTTAAATCGGTTGTGTGGCTTTAAAGATTTAGTTTGTTTAGCATATAAATTTGAAAATAAGATTGTACGGCATTTAAGATTTTTCTTTAACAAAATAAAATTTGGTTTGATTAATAGAATTTTTATTCATTGATTTCTATTTATAAATCTATATTGATACATTGAAAATTAAATTAAGAAAATTAAAAGACAAAAGTATTTCATATTAATTTTATATTTAATTATATAAATGATATATAGTAATTTCAAAATTAAGAATTCGTACGATTTATATATATATATATATATATATATATATATATATATATATATATATATATATCAAGTTTGGCATTTACCTAAAAACAGTTAGAATAAGTCTTAATGTTTTAATAATTATTTATAATAATTATTATGTATAATAATTTTGAATATATTTAGTAATATATTTATATATATATATATGTAAAAGTAATGATAAGGCATTGCTAACTAGCATTAGGAATTAAGAGAATATTCAAAAAGCTAGTCTTCAAGAAGCGCGTGATTAATGTATCTAAGCACGATACGTTTGAATAACCGTGTATTAAATGTAACAAAAATAAATTAAATATTTTATATAATATATCTAAAAGATTGCTATTATTTCCGAAGTCCTATTAAAGATCTACCTACAGCTTTAAATTTATGTAATATAATATTCCTATCGTTATTTTTATACCGCTTATTATAATTGTATTTACAAAATATGTAATTAATCCTGTATTTTTATTTTTTTTTTCATACAATCAGTTTGCAGAGCACGTTTTTAGAACATTTGATGCTAATGGAGATGGAACTATCGATTTTCGAGAATTTCTTTGTGCATTAAGTGTTACCTCTCGCGGTAAATTAGAGCAGAAACTCAAATGGGCCTTCAGTATGTACGATCTTGATGGAAATGGCTATATTTCAAGACAAGAAATGCTGGAAATTGTTACGGTAAAATCTTAAATTACTTTTTACCTCATTTAATATTTAAAAATTAAAAAATTTATTGACTGAATAATAAAAACATGAAATATATAGAAATACATACCAGTAATTGATTATAATACTTCAAAATTATACAAGATTCTGATAAAAGAAAGTTATTTCTTAAAAATTATAACTCTCAGAAATTAAATAACATAAATTAAAAATATATATTGATATGATTGTATAGTAATTATTATTTATTAATATATTATATACAAATATTCACTGCCATTTATAATGAAAAATATCAGGTATCACGAGCATTAAGATGAGAAAATGAATAAATTTCTATTTTTCAAAGAAATATTTTAGATTTTAATTAAAAAAAGATATAAGGGATGTTTTTGTTTCTTAAATTCATGTTATTATATTGTTATGTGAGTAGAATTGTTGAATATTATTTGGATTTTTAAAAGCTGACTTTTAGAATCTACTATTTTTATTTATTGTCTTTGTATTGAGTAAAATATGATTTAGTATTTTATTATAAATATCAACAGTTTTTATACATATTTTATAGCTTATCTTATCAACAATACAGTTATCATATTACTTCCAATATAAATTTGAAATTACGCCTTTTTATAGAAGTAAGCTAATAGTAGAATTATATCGATGATGATCTTATAATATGTTGATGCATCCTTTAACAAGTGATAATAAAAACATAAGTCTTGTTTGAAAATATACGTATGTCAGTTTTATATTTACATTACACATTAGTTTGGAAGATATTTATTTATTTTGAGATCATGCAATCCAAGATTTGGTAATATTCTCAAATTTAATCGATTTTATTGCATTTTAATACTGAAATTTATTATAATTGCTTAAAGCTATAACTAAGTCATTAGGATAATTTAGTTTATTGTTTATACAACTACATTTATAATTCACTTCTACTGTATTAATTTTTGATTTTCAAAAATTATCTTGTGTTAAATGATTAATGTGAGATATCTTTGTTGAATTTGCTCCATGTTCCATTGTTTATTATTTTCATGTGTATTAATTTATTACAAGTTTTACTCATAATATGATTTTTTCCATATCTACGTTATAATATTTTTTTTTTTGCAGACATGTTGCATGCCTTTTTTCGTTTAAAATTTCTCAGTTATCTTTAAGTCTCTATTTTTACAAGACCATTTACAATTTCAAATTTTTCGAAGATGCATTTTTTATAATTATTTATTGATCTATAACAATTTCTTATTAAATAGTTAAAAATTCTACACTACTTTAAAAATTTACGGTCTTTTTTGTTCTCTCTGTAATATATATATATATATATATATAAACTTTATTCTATCATACAGTTTATATACATTTTTTTAATCAATATTTATTAAAATAATTTATGTTTTTATTAACTACATTGATTTTATTTTTAATCGGTAAATAAAATAGATATGAAAGCTTATAATTAACATGATATGATTATTATTTTTACGATTTAATATTATTTGTCTCTAATTTACAATATGATCACATAATGCATTTATTTGTTATTGATAATGAATTATATTTTGCTTAGTCGTATGAAATACGACATTCATGGTAGATTGCATTTTCAGCTTAATAGAATAAGTAATCGTAGTATGTTTTGATTCTTGAACTTTCATTATATGTGCAAATCACTAAAGTTTGTTTGCCGTTCAGATTCAAAGTTGATGTAGAGATCGTAGTGCCTTATTCTGATATTGATACAGCTCTGGGTATTTATTTAGATTAATAAGTTTTTTCAGTGATCAGTTCTATTGAATTGTACATGCTATAATATTTCTCTCAGCTGTTAGTCAAATTTAAAGAATAAAAGCTTGGCAATATTATTTTAAATATAAAATACATTTATTTATTTTGCTTCACTGCTTCAAATATTAATACAACGCTTGTGCACGAAATAGTTTATATGCTGGTTAAATTATTTGATACTGCTGAATTTAATAAATAATATTCAAAATCCCATACGTGTGTACCAAGAATGTTGTGTTATATGCATTCTGAATTTATGCTCGAAAAACTAGTCAAGTTTTGGTTTACTTTATCACATTAACATTTATGTACTTAAATTATCATCGGATCCAATTTCCTATTTGAATATAATATTTTGGAGTAAGTGAAAGAGATATTAAGTAGAATACAATAAAAAATGGATTTTAATAGTCATTCATTTCTGATTTTACAAAAACTTTTATATACACAATGAGGCTAATCGATTTTTTAATATATATAGGTATGACTACTTATCAACTTGCTTGTATTTTATATTTTATTATATTTTATTGTATTCTAATTTCTAATATAGATATTAAATCATTCATTTAATAACTATTGTATAATTTATTTATTCATATTAATTTTTCATAGTGTTTTATATGGCTAAGACGATTAATTCAATTATTATATGTATGAAATTTCTTATATACATTAATAATATAAAAAGAAGTAAATAAAATATTACATCTACATATGATGTTAAAAAATAATGTACACATGATATAAGAGTATAGTACAAATTGTATTTTATACTTAATTTTATTAATATCATTTAAGTCAGGGTTCTATTTTATATTTGAATTTTTTCTAGTTAACTATTTTTTTAAAATAATTAATTCTGTGCTTAATCATATCATATTAATCAATATTTATAAATAATTATATTTAATCTCATTAAATATAAGTAATTAATGGATTATAAAGATAATAGTAATTTACATGTATATTTATATCTCCTCGTGACCCGAAAATCTATGCAAATCAAGTTTTTTGTTATTAAATTTATTTTATATACCATCGAAGATCAATTTTTATTGTAACTACTTGAACTTATCGATTCATGCTTACTAAAAAATACTCGAGCTTTGGTTGCTTAAGAGCCTCCTACGTTTTTATCAAGCTTGTAATGGATGCAATAGGTAACTTTTAAATGAAATTTTTTTAATTCGCACTTCATACTATTTCTAGAACCAATGAGAGATATATATTTTAAATACAAATAATTCAATATTACGTAATTCTGAAAATTAATAATTTATTATTAATGATTTTTTATCCATGGCCATCTAAGTATTTTTCGATTTATTATACATAAAATACTAATATTGATATGGATGCTGCAAAAATAGCAAACTTATTTTAATTTAATTTTATTTTTTATTTAGTATAAAAGAAATTTTTAATTTTCTAACAATTTACATAATTACCATTATACGTATACAGTTCTATGTTACTTTCTTTTTATAGCAATTTCGATGAATAAAAATTGATTTATGTCATTATAACATGGATTTAATATAAATATTTTTGTACATATCTTTCTTACAAGATATTTCATTCTTGTTACTACATTGTTTAGTTATAGTATATTTGCTTCAATTTTATAAATATTATAAATTTTGATCATTTTGCAGTTAAAATAATTTATAAACATAAAATTATTTATTTTCAAAATTATATATTTGTATTGACTTACAATTATTTAATTTTTATCTTAAAAGTATTTTTTTAATTTTTTTTAATTTTATTATAATGTTACTATAGGCAATCTATAAAATGGTTGGAACTGTAATGAAGATGCCTGAAGATGAATCAACGCCTGAAAAACGAACAGATAAAATCTTTCGACAGATGGATAAGAACAAAGATGGAAAATTATCATTGGAAGAATTTATTGAAGGTGCAAAAAGTGACCCATCAATAGTACGACTGTTGCAGTGTGACCCAAGTGCGCAAGCTCAGTGAAACTAGAGGAAATGTGGAGTTATTACTTCTTGTAAATAAAAAAGAAATGCTTCAATAAAAGAATCAACAAAAATTGAAATAAAAGTGATTCCAATTTAAAAATAAGAGAAACATAATGACGGAAAATTATATTATACGATCTCCTTTTACGTTTTCATGTCAAAAGTTATTTCTCCAAATCTATTTTTATTTTATTATAAATATTTTGTTCTTACACATTGATAAAATGAAAATGTATCTATAATTAACATATGTTGAATACACATTAATTATATGAAATTAATATAAAAATTATATGAAAAGAATATAATTACATGTAACAAAATCTGTTTATCATAGATATTACTTTAAAGCAATAATTTATAGTTTATGAATTTATATAGATTATGGCAATAATTTAATATTTGTAACAAATTTAGTTTATAATGTTATGCATAATGTAAATCTTTTATACTATTTAAATTAATAATTTTTAATCTTATTTTCTTCAATGATTATCTAATTTTTTCTTTAATTTGCATATATTTAGCATTTTCTGTTATACTGAAAATTTGAAAAAAACTTGAAAATTGTATACTTTATTGATTGATAATATCTGTTGATAAGATATATAGAAATGAATTTATGTTAGAAATAGGAATTATAATTGTAAACACAAATATACAATTTTATTACATTTACTTAATTATTTTAAATAATATGTAGATTTTTAATTGAATAACATTCTAAAATATTTAGATTTCATCATTAACATATATATTTAATATAATAAATTTGGAAGTAAATATTTATGATAGTAATAAATCATATACTTGAAATAAATTTCATACAATTTTATTATCGAACTTATTTGATTAATATACACATTTAATTGAAATAGTATTTGTTCGAGAATGCGAGAACATTTTTCCCTTTTTTGTCAGTGCAATAAAACATCTGGCAAGTAACATCGTAAAATTTGTATTTGGATTTCAAAACTTCGCTTGCTCAAAATTTCTCACGCATTAGTGTCATAAAACATCTGGAAAAACAATACCATAAACACGGGAAAACCTATAGTTTTGACATCTGCATTTTCGTTCAGCTCGGCCGCTACATCAAGCATTACTGCAAGCGGACCTTCCTTCCCCTTCGCGCTGTCAACAAGTTGCAATGCTGTTACCAGATGTGCCAGCGAACCCCCCCGCGCCGCTGCCGACATACAGTCGAATGCGGCAGCAGCAATGAGAGATCTGCGCATCATGAAGACCCAGAGACGACTAGGCCCTTAATTAACTCCGAACCCAAAAGAGGCGCTGCCCTCGCACTATAAGGGAGGAGTCTCTGATTGGACAGACAATAAGGGAAGGGGTTCAAGAAAAATTCATGGTCAGCAAATGTATTTAAGGGGCGCAATTTTCAATACTCATTTACTCATGATACTTAACTCTCTGGATACTTAACTCTCTTAATCCGTATCACTCGTGATATTTAACTGTCTTGATATTTACTTTTGATAGTTGCAGTTAGTAATATTTTCGTGATATTATTCTTTTCGAAGTGTCTCTCAGTTTTTTGATATCTATTGCTTATTAGTATTTTTGATATCTCTCTTTTAGTAATACTCCCTCAATATATTAAACCCTTGAGACATTTCATACTCAGTTAAGTTTTTAGTGAAAGTCTATTTAGCGCTATTTTGGGAACAACTTACATTTCTTCGGATTGTCCATTAACACTGTTATTGGAACAGTCGTTACAAGCCCCGGAAGAACGATGTCCACTAACGCAGTTCAAGAAACCATCGCGACATGTGCCAGGGGAGCTACGACAATCCGCCTATCAGAGTCCGAAGACGAATCAACGATTAAGTTCAAGAAACTGTAGTTACCTGCTCCAAGGGAGCCACGACAATCCGCCTATCAGAGTCCGAAGACGAGTCAACAATTAGTCTTTGTAAGTAGTATCTACTACAATAAATAAATAAATAAATATATATATATATATATATATATATATATATATATATTAAGATTCAGAGCATTACATCGACAAACACTAAGGACGAAGAAGCTACTCTTAAAACGACAGTGCGGAATAAATTCCAGTATGCGTCGTCCAGTTTCGCACCCGCCAAGGGCATCCCACTTCGTAACCCTCACCTTAGTTCAAGTTCGGAAGCTTACGGAAGTAAGCAAAACCCAACGCTATATATATATATATATATATATATATATTGAGATTCAGAGCATTACATCGACAAACACTAAGGACGAAGAAGCTACTCTTAAAACGACAGTGCGGAATAAATTCCAGTACGCGTCGTCAAGTTTCGCGCCCGCCAAGGGCATCCCACTTCGTAACCCTCACCTTAGTTCAAGTTCGGAAGCTTATGAAAGTAAGCAAAACCCAACGCAAGTGTAGACAATCCAGTTTCACGCCACTTTGCGATACCTTTCAATCATAAAGCCGCATTCATAACCTCAACCACGCACGTGCTCGTTCAAAAGACGCTAGTGTCGACGAACGAGACTTCCGCCATTCGCCATTCATATTCAATAATCAAGCTGCATAGATTATTGTACAGTTGTCTCCGCAACACATTACTTCAATCCAAGAATTAGTTCTACAAGTAATAATAGTAATGCTAGTCAACCTTGTCATTAATAAATAACAGAATAAAAAGCATATACTTCAGCCATATCTTTATTGTATTATTATAATATCCCTTCCACTTGTGACCTGTCATCGCTACCACACAACACCTGTGGTCTTTGAGTTGTCAACGGCATCAAATTGTATCCGTCGAACCGGCCTTGATAAAACAAGTCGGAACGACAAGGTGCATTTTGTACAGTATTTATACAGTTTATTTTTATTTTTTATAATATTATGTTAGATTATTTGATTATCTTATCATTTATTTCTATGCTTGATAGTGAATGAATTAGTAGTAGTTATTAAGACTTTATCGTAGTTAAAATACAAGTTAACAAAATATTTCACAACATTTAATAAGTACAATCGATTAAAATTCTTTTTAAAAGTTGACTTTATTATTTTTAAATAATAAATTTGAACATAGATATATAGTTAGTATATATAATAAAATGATTGTTTATATAACTTGTAAGAACATTTTTAATATATTTATATACCTTTGATTAAATTAAAAATTTTTTAAATTCCATTGGTATAGTAACGAAATAATATGTGCATAATTGTACATGCAGCAATTACGTATCACAATATTGATACTTAAGTATATAATAAATAGTATACAAATGTAAAGAAAGTTTAACAACAGAATATTTAAGTTTAAAAAATGATAATTTTATAAAATGATCGTTCTAATAGAATTAGATGTATTTTTCTGATTATTCACAAAATATAAATTTTTTTTTATTATAATATTGTTTGTCAATGACATCGAATAATAAAATTAAAAATCAATTATTCGATTTCGAAAATCTTTAAAATAAAAAAAATATTGAATAGAATATTTTAAGAAGCATTTATATAATTAAAAATAATTAATTGATAGAAATATATAAATTTATAATGATTTCAATATACAAACAAATTTTATTTAAATTAAAAAATGTATTGTTAATAAAAATCTATATTTTATTAATATTATTTTTTATTTTATTTAATAAATAACAAATTTATTTAAAAGTAATTTGTTGTGATAACTGTAGTCTCAAACATTTAAAGATCGTTTATTTTATTTAATTATCCAATCGATTATTTGATCAAAATCGAATAATTTGTAATTGTTCTTGAAGAAAGAATTTTTTTTATATTTTGATAGAATATTAAACAAAACATGATAGCCTATTAAAATATTTAATTAATGCATTCGTATTATATGATTAAACGTATCCCAAAAATAATAAAATTAATTTCATCGATTCAATATTATATTGTATTTTCTTTAATTTATGTTTTTAAGACATTATTAGATACTTATAAATAAGCAGATATTTTATAAGTTTGACTAAAATGATGTGAATATATAAAAATAATATATAAAAGTTAAATAGCTATATAAAATAAAAATTTTGAAATATATATTTTACGAACTTAAATCACGAAAAAAAAAAATAAAATAAAATTTATACTGAATGAAAATATTTCTTTCGATTATTATTTTTTAAATAATGTATTATTAATATAGATATTTGATAAAAAGAAGTCAATATGTCATAAAATAAATAAGATGATATTTGATTATAAAATTTCATCAATTGAAATATTAATAAAAGGAAAATAATATAAATAAAAAATAAATGCATGCAAACAATATATATATATTTATTTTATTTAAAAATAAATTAATTAAACTGTAAAACTGAGTTATCATTCTGTACTTTAATAATTTAAAAAAACGTATTTCTAATATATTGTAATTTTAATTACATTATTTAAAAATTGATTTTTTATGCATTATTTTTAATTCAAAATAAATAAAGTATTACATAATTAATAAAATCCGTCTTATTCGTAAATTAGTAACAATTAGTAAAACTATTGTAAAAATTGTTATGTAGAAAATTACAATAAAAATGTGATTATTACAGCTATATTTTATAATAGTTTGTATTTGGTACTGATAATATTCAATAGGTAATATAAAGAAAACAGTTCAATTTTTGTTAAAAGTAAATTTATAATATTTAGATTTTTATAATATTAATACAAATTGCATATTGCGAATTCATACAAATGCTTTGAACAAGTTTTTATATCCTATATATAGTTATATATAGACATTTATTATTTATATTATATAATAAAAATAATATTGTATATATAATATAAATAGTATTGAATAGTATAATAAATTAAATATTATATACATAATATTATACTATATAAGAAATATAATAAGTGCATGTATTTATTAAATAAAGTCAATCAACTATTTAAAATAATTATTAATTAATTATATTAATGAAAGAACTTTAAATATCGCAAAATAAATCATATACAAATATAATTGAAAATAATTAAATTATTATATATAAGTGTCGTCATTGAATTTTACATGCATTTGTTTCGTCACGGCATTAATTATTAAAAATATAATGACGCATTTGTGGTTGCATGCCTAG